CTTCTTCTGGTTGTACCCCAGATGTCTCCCGTCTAACAAGAGATAAGAGAGTGAAGCTGGCGAGCCGGGGGACTGAGAAAGACAAGACAGACCCAGGAGTGTGTCCTCTGGACTCAGGTCCTGCCTTGGGAACTCCAGAACCAGGAGACTCAGAGAAGCCCTCCCCAAGAGCAAAAACCCCGCAATTGGCCTTGCAGCTTTCTAAACTGTGGAGGAGGAAGTGTCTGTGCTGGTTTTCCTGGGGAAAAGGCTATCCTTCTCGGAAAGGTAGAAGGTCAGTGAAAGAGAGGAAGACCCTAACAAGGTGGATTGACGCTGTGACTGCAGCAATGGGCTCAAATGAACCAGAGAGGCAAAGATGACACAGACGAGGACAGGGTTTCCGATCTGTTGTTCACAGGCTCCCTATGAATCACACTTGACTTCATGGTACCTAACAGTGACAAAGGTAACTACACTTGGAAAGTCCTTGCTGTCCATTCAGAACTGACGCATAGCTGACCCCTCCAGCGGGTTTCAGAGGCTGTAAATCACATGTGAGGTGACCGCTCACCTCTGTCTCTTGAGGAGCGGCTAGTGGATTCAAACCTTTGGGTTTGATCTGCTTACCTCTGGGTGGATAGTGCAACCCACTAGATCACTGGAGTGGGGAGAAAAAGTACTGGGAAAGAGGACCCCCCTATTCCCCAACCCTATCAAAAACATATACTTAAAAAACCACTATCATGCACTGTTCAGTCAGGTAAGCAACACTTGGACAAACTCAAACATACGCCCAGAGCCACGTCAGCCTCTGAGAACAGAGACGAGAACAGAGGGAGGAGGAGACTCTTCACCGCTCTGTCTGTTCCTTTTAAAATTTCAGACAGGAGGAATGTCCATCATCTAAAGCAACCTTTTCTCATTTCTCAAAATTAAAACAATTTGCTAACTTTAAGGGCCACATGAGCAGGTAAAGTGCAGACGGATACAAAGTTCCTGCATCCCAGAAAGAAGAAGAGTCTTTCCTGGGGTTGGCCAACCCCTCGGGTTCTGGGAGAGGTGTGAACCCCAAGTAGGTGTGAGGTCCCCAAGCTCAGTTCCTTCCCCAGGACAGGGCACCCAGAGAGACTAGGCTGAGCCCTAGATAGCTCTGATGACTCCCATCGCAAAGCCTTTTCTCTGCTCAGAGGCTCCTTACAGGGCAGAGTTCGCACAGCCATCCGGCAGACAGGATGCCCAGGCCGGCAACGAGGCACCAAACTCTCATCCCAGCACTAAGACCTTCGCGGGGCTCAAGTGACAGGTTGAGGAAGGGCAGTGTCGCCTGAGCTGTGATGGGCGGACACAGACCGGGGCGGTTAAGCCTCTCAAGTTTCCAAAGTGGCCTCTTTATGAGAACAATGGGAGGAAGTAAGACTGGAAGGGAGGCCAGCTTAGGACCTCACGCACCCCCACATCAGGCAGCGGTGAGGGGCCCTGCAGGACCACCTCCCCGCCTGCCAAGGGTGCTGCTCTGATGTCCAGAGGGCCACTGAGGCCCAGGGCAGGAAGGAAGGGGTCAGGGTCACCAGGCAAGGAAGGAAGAGGGAGGGGCTGCCAGGCACAGTGGTGACAGGGCTGACCGACACTCAGCAGGCCCCTCGTGCCAGGACCTCCTGGTCCCCAGCCTCTCTGCACTGTTACAGTCTGAGAGGAGAGAAACCTGACACCAGCCAGATTCGAACTCCGCTCTGTGACTGCCCAAAGGATTCTTCCAGCAGAGCACACCCGAGGGCCAGGCCCGGTCACAGGGCACTGGCCCTCAGTCTAAGCTGGTGGACACTCCAAGCCTCTCCTTCTGACAGCCCCAGGCTGTCCCTGAGCCAAACACGATGGGGCCTCTCAAATGAGAGCTCAGCCTCTGTACCTCCTCATTGCCCTCCCTGCCCAGGCCCGGCCAGGGCCACAGACACTATCAGGGCAATCCTCCCAGGGTCCCCCAACAAAGGGGCACAGGCTAGAGACAACCTCAGTACATGAAGGGGCTCCCAGGTAAAGACAAGCTGGACATTGAAGGAGACAGAACAAGGTGGGGTGAGAGGGGGGAATGGCAGGGGCAGGAGGGACCAAGAGTCCAAACCTGAGAGACCAAATGAGCCACCCTGCCTCACAGAGGAGCATCAGGGCCAGGCAAAGGTCGCCCTTCATCCCAAGGACACTGGTGGGTCAGTACATCCTGTGGACAGTTACACACACACACACACACACAGAGAGTTCCTTGTCAGTGAGACAGACAACCTGGCTGCTCACTCCGGAAACCCTTCTCTGAGAACCAGGAACTAGGTCCTGACATCCCGTGTCTAGCCTGGACCAGATGACCACAGACTCTAGGCTCTTCGCAAGGCTTTATGGGATCCAGGCCCGGGGCAGGGGTGGGGGTGTGCTGTGAGCAGGTCCTGAAGCAGAGCCATCCCCAGAATCCTGGGCCAGGACCAGCCCACCCTCTGACCATCAGCCTCCTCCAGCTCACCCAGATGTGTGTGGCCTCTGAAAGGTTGTTCCCAGCCCTCAGTCACTGCTGGGTCCCCTGGAGTGCAAGGCACCCCCTCTGTCAAGTGTCAGTACACGTGCACACACAGTTCCTGCCAGGAAACCCAACTTCCTGCCACTAGGTCCAGAAATCTCTGGGCTAACCAGGAAGACGGTCTGGCTGTCTGAAGCTCTCTTGGGCAGACACTGCTCGACCCTCATCCTCTTCCCAGCATCAAGCTGCTTGTCCCCAGGTTCCCCCAGGGCTCCCCAGCCCTGTGCCAGGGCGCCTCAGCTGCTACCTGTAGTCACGGCCTGAGAAAGAGCCAAGGTCACGGGGTGCCGGAGCCTGGCTGTGTGGCTGCTTCTTACTTCATCCTCCACAGCACCCCCACTTCACAGCACGAAAGACTGAGGTCCAGAGCAGTGAAAGACCCCACCTTCACCCTCAGGCTGCAGAGCACCAGAGCCAGGACTGCTGACAACGGGTCCTGGGGAGGGACACCGTCCAGAGCCCCAGCCACCCACCCACCCAAGAACTGGCCGGGACCAAGTTGGAGCAGGCCAGGCTTCCCATAAGGAGTCCTGGTGGCACATGGGTCAAGTACTCAGCTAACCAAAAGGTCAGTGGTTCAAACCCACTAGATGCTCCACCAAGAATGTGGCAATCTGTTTCCATAGTGATTAAAACCCACCCAAACCATCAGCAATTCTGACTCAGAGTGACCTGGGAAACCCTAAGGGCAATTATATATACGCCATCTTGTATGGTCCCTACCAGCCAGAAAGGACTCGGGGACAGTGGGTTTACGTGCATGTTAAGGCCTCCTGTAAATCCCACCCAGGCTACTGAGGATGCCTGTGGGCAGGTGAGGCAAAGGTTAGTCTGGGAATCACCAGACTTCCCTTGGGACCCTCCCCTGGGAAGAGCCCCCTCATAAGTCTTTCTCTTGCAGCAGAGAGCTCTCAGGCCACCTGTGCTTACTGCCACCCTCAGTTTCCCCAGAGACACAAAGACTACTTGTCAGTATTTACATTCATACTCACCCTGCCCCTGCCCCCAGTCCTGGAGCCTGAGAACCCTGAACTTTCCCACTTCCTCATTCCTGCCCCGCCCAACCCCCCAAACCAAAACCAAACCCACTGGCATCCAGCCAGGTCCTCCTCATATTGCCCCTAAGGACAGAGTAGAACTGCCCTATGGGGTTTCCAAGACAGCAATCCTTTAGGGTAGTAGACTGCCTGTCACATCTTTCTCCCAAGGAGTGGAGGGTGGGTGGGTTTGAAATGACCTGCTAGTTAGCAATGAAGCCCTCAACTGCTGCGTCAGAACTCCCAGCCAGCCACCCTCATCCTCTGGATTCCACACACAGGGAGGTCTGGATCCTCCCTCGCCCCAGGGGTTGCGGGGCTCCCAAGCCTCATGAACCCATGGGGTGCTCAGATTGTATTCTGAGCTGGGCCTGGGTGTAGGGAGTGAGCTGTCCAGCCTACCAGCCCTGGGTGTCCCCTTTACAAGGGTGAGAGAGTGGGGGGAGCTTTCCAGGACTGGCCTAGATTCAACTTTGGTGGCCCGTGGGCAGCCACCACCTCCCAGGCAGAAATAAATGAAGAGTGGCACTGAGTGTGGGATAGGAGGTGTCTAACCCCATCTTCCTGTAAATCCCCGTCTCCCTGTAAATTCCCATCTCAGTCACTCCTGGGCAAGCCCCAAGCTGTCAATGTAAATGGTCTTCCCGGTAACCAGCTTCACCTTGCAGGCTGGAACCAAATTACTGAGCAGTATAGGAGGGGTTGAAACGGGAGATCAGAGAGCAGGGCACATGCTTCTTGCAGCCCCTCCCCTAGAGCTGTGGTTTGCAGGGTCACCTCTCCTCAACACTCAGTGAGTGGCACTTACCCTACAGCGGCTTGACCACTTTCACTGCTGGGAAGTCCCTCTCACATCTAACCCAAATACCCCAAGCTGCAGCACAAAGCCTGATTACTTGTCTATCCAGAAGCGAGCAAACTGTATACCAAAGGCCAGTGGATGTGGCTGCAGGGACCATGGGCTTCACCTTGCAGCCTCAACTGTGGGCCTTCCCAGCTCTGGGCTGTCCTCAGCTCTTGGGACTAGACCCAGCAAGAGGCTGACCAGGTTGGCATCATCGCTGAGACCCCAGCCCAGGTCCATGTGTGGACAGCCTGCCTCCCAAGCTGAGCGAGCCGGCAGGGCCCCTCCTTACGAAGGCGCCGTTTTAATTCATCTTTATTTTAAAAATAAATACTCTGCCTTTCACGGCGAGCCTGGGGGGAGGGGCTGGACAGAGTCCCCAGCAGAGCGCAGCACAGAAGGGAAGCTGGTCACGCAGTGCGCCGCCCCCCCCGCGTGCGCCCCAGCTGCCCGGGGCTCTGCGGTTCCTTGTGGAGAAGCAGGCATGCATAGCCAGGAAAAGTTCCATGACTTCAGGGGAGGAGCAGGGCCTGAGCGGCTCCAGCGCGCGTCCCCACCTCCGCCTGCTGTCCGCTTAGATGCAGGTGATGAGCACGTCCACGGAGGTGGGCACCTCGATCTCCGCGAAGAGCACACGGCTCTCGGCGGCCCCGGAGTCCCCGGCCTTGGCGGCCCTCAGCAGGTCCCGGGCGTGCTGCAGCAGGCGCTGGTTACAGCGGCGGCCCAGTCGGCGCAGCGCCAGCAAGGCCAGCACGTGCTCCCTCCTGCGGAGACACACGGTCCCCGCTGCAGACAAGCACTTCCCAGGGCGCACAGGACAGCGGCGAGGGGTGCCCCAGCTCCCCTGCAATGTGCGCGCTCCCAGCAATGCTGGCGCCGGGCCTGCGGGGCTGAGACTGCCCAAGGCCAGAATCGGGGCACAATGGGGAGGAGGGGGCGACTCGTCGGCGCTGGGCGGGTCCAGATCAGAAGATTGGGGCGGGCGGGGTAGGGTGGGGAGTAGTCTGGAAAAAGCCAGACTCTGTTGGGCGCACGGCCAGGCCCCTGATGTCACCTAGATAAGGGGTGGGGGGACAGGGTGGCAGCAGGAGGACGAGGGGAGTCCTTGAGTCACCCCCTCCCCACTGCAGTACAGGCACGCAGTGGCACCCCGCCCAGGAGCAGGGAGGGGGCAGGCGGACTCTGAGGGAACCTCTCTCCTCCTACTTCCCCAGCAGAGCGGGGTAGCTGCGGGGTAGGGGAGTGGGGGCCTCGGCTGGGAAGGGGCTGACCTGGGATGGGGGGTTTCTGGTCTGGCCTGACCATCCCGGAATCTCCAAGGCCACGAGAGGTTCTCTCGGGCTGGAGTTTCCACGGATTGCAATGACTCATTCGTAGCCCCAACACACAGCCGGGGATCAAAGCGGGTTTCCTCCCCGCCCGGCCAGGGCACAAGGACCTGGGCTTCCTCCGAAGGAGGGGGCTCGCCTCTCCTCCTCAGGGGCCTGACCTAGGACAGGCCTAATGGACCATGGGGAGCTGGCAGTCTTCCTCAAGTTCAGGAGCTGGTCCTCTGGCGTCCCAGTCCTTAAACGCATACGCACAGCCTCGCCTGAATCAACACCCTCCTGCTCCTGGGAAGGGCCCCCACACCCCCGGATCCAGCTTGAGCTTCCCTCTGACTTCTCGTGCACCCGCACTCGAGGACCCTCTGAGGATGCAAATCTTGAGCCCCGTGTCACCTAGAAGGGAGCAAAGGCGCACTGACCTGACGTCGTGGTAGCTTCGGATTAGCGTCTCCAAGTGCCGCTGGATGCTGGCCTTGTCCGTCTCTCCCAGGATGTCAGACACGCACAGAATGGCCTGGTCCAGCCACGAGGCCTCCGAGCCCTGTGGGGACAAGGGGATGCCTGAAGGCCACGCCCCCGGCGCCTGCCTCGACCTCCCCTGGGGGCGTACCTTTGACCTGCCTGGGGCTACCACGGTCCTGGACTCCCATACATAGCTAGTGGGGCTCCAGCAGCCCAGGTGAGTAGGGGCTCAGTTCCAAATGGGGGGAGGAGAAGCCTCTCTCCAGGTCCCACCATAGAGGGGGTACGCTGCAGGCTGATGTGACGTCCCGCCCGCCTGTCCACGCCCACTTGCCGGGACGCCACGCCCCCCACCCGTCTCCCTAGTGAACCGATGGGCGTGGCGTCCCTGCCGCAGGCCGAGCTGGGGGACCGCCCCGCGGCAGCGGTCGCCGGTCCTACCAGGCCCTGGAAAGTCTCGCCGATGGCCTGGGCATCGAGGCTCATCTTCTGCGAGCTCATCACGCGCTCGGTGCCCCGGAAGCGCTCCCGCGGCCGCAGCGCCTGCACCAGGTACTCCCGGACCACGTAGCGATGCACCTCGTGCAGGACCTCCTGGTGGGCAGGGGCGGAGGTGGGATCAGGGTCCCACCCCCCCACCCCACCTTCGAATCCTGGCCTGGACACGCTCCCGCCAGGGACTGCCCTCCCGCTGTACCTGTGCCCAAGGCGGAACCACGTGCTCGAGCTGGCGGCCCAAGGTCACTACCTTGTCCATGAGGGGCTGAAGAGCATCCTGTGTCAGCCAGGTCTTGGTGCACAGGACCTTGAAGAGCGGCTGGGGGCGGAGTGGGGAGGGATTCGAACTACGTCCTCCCCACCCACCTGCTCACTCCACCGCGCCTTAAAGCTCAGTCCACCGCTCCCAGCCACAGTGTTTCAGAATTGATCTGCCTTAACTTTGGGAGGCTACCTGACCCCTTCTCCACCAGGCTTCCTGGTGCCAGGGGCCGCATCACCAGCGCTGCCAGAAAGGCCTCCCCAAGCCTGCAGCTCCAGGCCACCGGGTCTGAGTGTAGACTCCCCTGGCCCAGTTTAGGGCAGTTTCTGGGAAGTCTGGGAGAGGGGCCCAGGCCTGGTTCTGAGACCCACAGTCCCAAAGCTGGGCCTTGACCATGAGTGTAGAGGCTGAAGTGAGAAAGTGAGCATGTTCCACCCTTTCTCTGTACATCTCCTGCATGCTCCCTTAAACCACCCCTGGAGAATGTGGGGCCCCTGCTGGATGTGGCATATGGGGACAGAGGTGGCAAGCCAGCTCTCACCCCTCACCTGCACATTCTTTTGCAAATCTTGAAGTAGACGCTTCTGGAAACTGGAGATGGTAGATGCCAGGGGCTTCTCCAGCTCCTCAAAGGTGCCTGGGTACCTGGTCAGAAGATTGCTCCTGGGGAGGGGCGACGACAGGTGAGGTGGTAGGTAAAGGGGGAGGACAGGTAGAGGAGGGGGAAGGGCAAGGGGAGGGGGGAGGAGAGATGGAGCAGAGGGGAAGGGGACAGATGGAGTGGGGGAAGGACAGGTGAGGTGGTAGGTAAAGGGGGAGAACAGGTGGAGGAGGGGAAAGAGGACAGATGATGGAGTGAGGGGTAAGGAGGACAGGTGGAGGAGGAGGAAGGATGAGGGGAGGGGGAGGATAGATAGAAGAGAGGGGAAAGGGGACAGGTGGAGTGAGGGATAAGGAGGACAGGTGGAGCAGGGAAGGGCAGGTGAGGTGGTAGGTAAAGGGGGAGGACAGGTGGAGTGAGGGGTAAGGAGAATAGGTGGAGGAGGGGAGGAAGAAGGACAAGAGCAGGGAAAAGTGACAGGCCGGATGGAGGAGAGGGGAAGGGGTAAGTGAAGTGAGGGATAAAAAGGACAGGGGACAGGTGGAGTGGGGGGGGAAGGACAAGTGAGGTCGGTGTGAAGGCAAAGGGGAGAGGTGAAGTGGTAAGAGGACAGGAGAGGAGGAAGCTAGTGCCATGTTGGCTGGGTATCACACCTCCATTCACTCAGACAGTGTGGAGGGCAGCCCCCAAGACTGCAAGGTAAGAGGAGGGCTGCACCAAAGCCCTAGGGGCTGATCATGAAGGTTCAGTCCCCAAGGCAGGGGTGGCCCATCACTGATTTCCCTTCTGGCAGCTCTGGACTGAAGCCTCCACTTTTCTTGAAGTCAGGACGGTGAAATCCATCACACCTCATGTGGTTTGTGTCTTCCTTTAAGCCTCATAGTAACCCCTCTGTAGGTGACAACTCTCCCATTTCACGGCTGGGGAAATTGAGGCCCAGGCTATGTCCAGTCCTCACAGTCAGGGGGCAAGCCACTATGAAGGGAAGCTGCCCTGCCGGAAATACTCCCAGATGGAGCTTGGTCTGGCAGAACTCTAGGGTTCTCGGTACCAGGAGGACCAGCCCAGATAGTGTGGGGAATGCTGCCTGGTGTCCACCACTAGAGAGTGGCCAGGTCCAGCTGAGCCCCCCTGGGTCCGCAGAGCCTGGCCCAAACTGATTAGCATTGAGAGAGCATTGGAGAAGTAGTGCCTGGTTGTGGTCTTGCTTTGGAACCTCGCTGCCCTGTTTCAAATCCCAAGTCCACCTCTTACTGGTCTTGTGACTGTGGACAAGTGCCACTTCCTTTCTTTTCTGCAGACAGACACGCTGCATTCAGGACGAAAATGTTCCACATGCATCAGCTTACAGAGTGGATGTGACCCCAGTTCTCCTAGGCAGAGTACCTCCCTCCCCATCCCAGCGCTAGGGAGCAGGAGCTCTGATCCTCATCAGACATACAGGGAACCAAAGCTCAGAGAGGTTAAGGAATTTGTCCCAAGGCACACAGCCAGCTCTTGAATCTAAACCCAGAGAGAGTGTGTCCTCAAAGTTGTGATCTCAGCTGCTGGTGACGTGGCCTGTGGCCTGGGGCGGAGAACAAAGAAGGGCGCAGCCACCTGCCTGCCCACGTGAAGGGCCTCCTGGGAGCAGGCTGACAGCCCTTTCATAGCCCAGGGAGGGGTGTCAGGGAAGGCTTCCTGGAGGAGATGTCCCTATAAAGGAAGGCGAAGTGGGCCTGGGATAAAAGGAGGAAGGAAACTGAACCAGAATGACAGGGCTGGACTGGGCGGGCAGCAAAGCGGGACTAAGGTGAATGGAATTCTTCGGCCCTTGCTCAGCTTTGAAAGCTTTTCCCACCTCTTCCCGGGCCTGAGCCCCATTGCCCAGTGAGGAAGTGGGGAGGACTGGACCTACTGGTCCCTGGAGACAGGAGGACGGCTGGGCCTCACCCAGGCCAAGGTTCCTACGCACTCTGCGCGCGCACGAGCACACCCACCACGTGGGGAGCCCCACGCCTGCAGCCCCCCTCCCGCCACTGGTGCAAGGGGGGAGGGGGCGGGCCTCCACCTCCCGATTCCCAAAGCTCGCCCGCCCCCTGCTGGAAGCGCTGGGCATCGTCCTGCGGAGAACCTGGAGGGACCCAGACGCACCTGAGCTCCTCGCAGGTGTTGATGTAAGCGCCGAGGTGCGGCACGCTCACAGCCTCTGACTCCAGGAATGTCTTTTCAAACCTGAGGAGCAGTGCACGGAGGCCGTGGGGATCTCGCCTGCCTCAGCCTCCCCTCACCATCGTGCCCAGGTTCCCTCCCACCTCCAGGACAGTGAGTTGTCTGTGACTCTGAGCGGGGAGGGGGGGCGGGAGTGTGTGTGAGGTTCCCAGGATGACCACCTCCCACACCTGGTTCCTGGCCGTGGGAGAATGCGCGCACCTGGGCACGAAGAGGCTGAGGGCCCGCGCGCAGAGCCGCAGAGTAGTGGCCTCCAGCTTGGCGGAGATGGCGCCAGCCGCCTTCACGTGCTCGGCCACAAGCTGTGAGCGGAGCCCCCACATCAGTCCCCAGGTTCTCAGTCCCTCACCTCGTGGCCTGTCGACGTCCCCACCCCATTCCACGCTCTTATCTATGCGCCATTCTTAGGTGCTCTCCACTGGCCTCTGGGGAACCAGTTCCGCCCCACTCAGAGCCTCATGGCCCATGTACAGGGAGGGGAGGCTGGGACTGGGCTCAGCATCCCTGAATCGCCACCTCACGGGGCCCCACGCTGGTGCACACCCCCTCCCCACCCAGCCGCACCATGTGGATGTCAGGGGACAGCGGCACGTGGTAATGACCCTGCAACAGCTCAGGTGCCTCAGCCTCAGCCCAGCGACTCTGCTCCAACTGCAGAATGTTGTCAAAGCAGCTGGCGATCTTGGTCTGGTGGGGGGGACAGGGCAGTGAGACTCTCCAGGGAGGGAGTGCAGGTGTTTCCAGTTTCCCCGGTCCCTTCCTGCCCATGGAGTGGGGCAGGGGCAGCCAGCAGTGGAGGATGGGCATTCAGCAGGAACAGGGCCTGGGCCTAAGGCTACAAGGTGGAGATGGCTGCAGCCTGAGTCACCCGCAGCACGAAACCCACCCCATCGCCTTCACCCTCAGCCCGAGGGGCCCACTTCACCTCAAGGAAGTTGGTATAGTCATCCTCCAGCTGGGCCCACATGTCAGGTGCCAAGAGTGGGGGCAGCGGCTCTGCAGGTAGTGACAAGTCCGGGGCCCCCAGGAAATCAGGGCTAGAAATTAGGACACAGCCTGAGGGCAGGATTCTCATCCAGCTGGGGGCTAAGCTGTCCCCAAATCTCCAGGGCCTGGCTCAAAGTCTGAGGCCATCACTTCAGGGCCCAAAAGTCTGGCTCTCAGTTCATACCCCCACCCCAGGTCCTGCTCTCAAAGTTCTGTGGGCTTCTCAAAAGCTTTGACTGTTCCATGCACTCTAGACTGGTGAGTTCTAGGGGTAATTAATGGGACTGCAATTCCAAAGGGTCAAGGCTGGAGTCTAGGTACTCCCAGGGAGAAAGATGAGCAGTAGTCTCCTCCCACAGGATTCACTGCCTCTGAAAAGCCAGCGGAGGGTCAGCTGGGAGTTGGTTCTAACTCAAAGGCTCACAACTAGCACCAGCAGACCCTTCACAGAATGCAGGGATGGCTGTCCAGAAGGGCCAGGCCTAACTTGTGTCACCCACAGTGGAGACACACACAAGCCTGTTGCCCCCAGCACTGTGGCCAGCTCAGGAAACAGCTGCCATCTGGGGCTCACCAAGGAATCCCAGAGAGGGACTGAGACCTTCCAAAGACCACATGTCAAAGGAAGGGGAGACTGAGCCTTCAGAAGAAACCGCTCCCACCAACATCCTTCCTTGTGAGGTTGAGGAGACTCCGTTCACCTTCCCCTTATTATTCTCACTAGTTCAGACGGGCTCAGGCTGTGAGCACCCACCACATGGCACCTTTGCCAACCTCTGGGAGCCTCGGACTGCGTGGCTGTGCCGTGTCATGGAGATCTATTCAGAAGCTACATCTAGAACATCATGGGTCCTCATACTAGTCCTCGGCACTGTGGGAGCTTCGGCTGGGGCACTTGTGCGAACTAGGCTTGGTGACCAACTAGGAAAACCCTAGGTTAGAGCTTACGACCTCCTTCCACCCGCCTCCCAGGCGACGCAGAAAGGGGCTCCCACAGAGAAAGGGAGAAGGCAGAAGACCATTGCCCTCCCTGTCCTCGCCAAGCTCGCGCACTCTGCGGTCTCACCTTCCGTAGACATTGGCTGCCCAGTCCAGCAGGACATAGAGCTGCTCGCAGCCCCGGGACTGATGCGCCCGCGCCTGGTGCGCCAACTCCTGAAGGCGCTGGGCCACCGCGCTGTGGAAGGCGCGCAGATAGACCTCCCAGGCTGGGAAGCCAAAGGCCTCGTAGGCGGGCTGCACCTCCCGCCGCACCTTCTGCAGGTCGCGGCGGACCAGGCTGCCCAGCTCCGCCAGCTGGTGAGCCAAGTCTGGCGAGCCCTCGCCGTCCGGGGCAGCCTCCTGGGCGCTTGCGCCCTGCACGCGTTCCTGCGCGTTCCGCTCCACCGCGCGCTCCCAGTGCTGGCGCCAGTGGCGCGGGGTGCGCAGGAAGTCACCATCTGTAGGGGACTCCGGGTGGGCGTTCTCCTCAGCGCACACCACGCGCGCTACTTCTGCCAGCGCATCCGCGTCCACACCATCTGGACCCAGCGTCTCGCGCACGATGGCATCGATCTCGGCGGCCAGTCCGTCGTAGTGAAGACACATGTCCATGGCGCGACGCGCGTAGCTGGTAAGATCCTGCTCATAGGAGCGGTTCGTCTTCATGGCCACTAGCTGCGTCTCCAGGTCTCGCAGCTGTTCGAAGGCTGCCAGCAGTTGCCTCTCAGTGATGAGATCAGCCACGGATTTGTCTTCTGCAAGGGACAGACTGCATGAGGTGGGTAACAGCGAAAGGGGCCGCTCCAGGACCTCGCCAGGAAGTAACAACAGGCATGCCTCAAACCCCCAGCGTCCCAGGCCTACTCCAGGAAAAGTAGCCCCAATTCCACGGGCCCCCTTAAAAATTCCCTTTATAGAGGCCGACTGAAGCCTGTCTAGACGCAACAACTGGAGTTAACAAAGGGCTGGAGCCAGTGAGCGCTGGTGGTCTAGTGGTAAGCAGCTACACTGCAATTCTGAAGACATGTGGTTCAAATCCACCAGATGCTCTTCTGGAAACAGAGGGGCAACTTCCTCTTGGGCCAGTCGGATCTGATTCGACAGTACACAACAACAACAACAAAGTTAAATACTGATAATAAAAAAGAAATTTAGGTGGAGCTAGGGCCAGCTCCAGGCTCCCCACCCTCACTGGACTTGAGGCCTCTCTTGCAGCCTGATTGTAGGTCTAATGGGGTCAGAGCTCAGACTGGGCGGTACCGGACCAAGACTCTTGCCCCAGTGCGGGGCTTTGGCACTTCTGGGATCTCTAGTTTTCACAGCCTCCCTTCAGCACCCCTCTGCCAATGCCTGCACCCCCGTTGAGAGCTCTATTCCCCCCCTTCCTTTTATGAGCAGCCCCTCCCACCAGCCTCCAGGCAGCCAATGCCCTGTATGGTCTGTGACCTCTTGATCAGAAGGTCATTGCCTGGTCCATCCCCAAGGCTGGCCCAGAGCCCAAGCCCATCAGCTGCGGGAGTGGCTGGATGTGGAAGGTTAGATCCCATCTTTCCTATTTCCCAGCTGTAAGGCTTGAGGTAGCTCACTTGGCATCTCTAAGCCTCATCCTTCACATCTGTTCAATTGGGTTTGCACATCTCTGAGATGTTAGGAGACTATAAGTAGCAGTTGTCATTCATGAGGCTGGGAGTGAGGTCCGGTGCAGAACAAATAGCCAGCTCAGCTCCTGGAGGGATGGGTAATGCGCTACCCTCTGGCCTCAGTTTCCCTCATGCTGAGGTTGGCTTGTAAGGCTCTCACCTGCCTCAGTTTTCAGTTCTGCAGGCGCCGACCCTGTGGACATCTGACGCCTAACAAGGTCCTTGCCTTTTGAGGACACATTAGGACCACAGGCTGCTCCTGACTTGGTGGAGGTCTGGGGGCCATTGGCAGTCACAACTTCAGCCAGATTTCGCCGAATCGAACGCAGGAGTTTAGAGCTGCGCCGGTGGAATAGGCCAGAGTCAGGAGAGCCTGGGCTCTGTGGGCTGTCAGCGGAGCCTGGGCCCTTCTGTCTGTCAGCAGAGCCTCGGCCCTGCTGGTTGGCCCTGGAGAATGACCGGAACAAGGTGCCCAGGCGAGGCCATGCAGTGTCATCATGCTGGGTGCTGGGCGCGTCCCCGCTGCTCACTCGCCGCTTTGGGGTCTGCCGTTCAGCCGGTTCTTTCTGGCTGCACAGCTCCGGTGCAGGGGTCAGGGTGCGAGGCGATGGCATCTTGGCAGGAAGAGCTGAAGGTGAGAGGAAAGCCTGGGGTTGCCCAGTCCTGGGAACCAGATTCAGGAATCCAGGGCCTTGGTTAGCAGGGAAAGGGAGGAGTGACCCCAGGTACTGAGATGCAGATAGCCGCTTCCAGGCACCCCAGATCCCCATTCAGGGTTCCAGCACCCACACCTCAGTCAGCCTGCTGGATGAGACCCTTCCCTTCAGAATCAAGTAGGAGTTAAGTGTGCAGATTCTCATGCCCAGTTCTCATCTAACACTTAAGGACTTTGAAGTACACACACACACACACACACACACACACACACACACACAATCCCTTTGCCTGTCTCCAGACCCCTCGGCTCAGCCTCACCACTTGATTCACCTGGACAAGCTTAACTGCTTTTGTTCAGAAGGGTGCTCAGGCTGTCCCCCCAAATCCACCCCCTTCTCAGGGTCCTGAGCGCTGGAAGTGGGTCTGAGCTGAGGGCACTAGCAGAGGCCCCTCTGGCTTATCGAGGTCTCACAGCCCATGGGGAAGTCTCCCTGACAGGCAGCGGGTCTATATTTAACAGGGTGAGGGCGGAGGGGTTCCCAACACGGCTTCCCGAGAGGGCACTGAGGGGCATCCTGTCAACTGCCCCTGCCCCTGTGACCCCCTCCACCCACACACATGCTCTCTAGCGGCAGAACACTGTTTGCTCTCTGGCTTCTGGTTAAGCTGGGCTGTGGGAGAGACCTTGACAGCCTGACCCCGCCCACCCCACTGTGCAAAGGGGCGGGGGTAGGGGGCTGGGGGTACAGATTCGGCCTGAGGCCCAACAGGCAAAGCCCCCAGGCAGTCCCGGGGCTCTCCATCCAGGATGCCAGGACAAAAGCCCAAGTGGAGCCAGCCTGTGACCTGGTGACACTGGGCAGGAGCTGCCCTTGGGGCCTCAGCTTCCCTGGAGTGGGGTGACATCAGGATGGGGGTCCCAGCCCCTCCTACCCCACGTCATCCCAGGAGTCTGTCCTTGTCTTCGGTTGGTTCTATAGGCCTACCTTCCTCCAGGCTCCCTGAGCACCCAGCAGCTGGAAGGAGCCCCACCAAGGAAGAGAAGGCGGCTGGTGATTGAGATCTGATCGCCCCGCCCCGTCCACAGGTCATCCTTTCTCCTGGCGCCAGGGCTCTAGGACCCTGCCCCCCTCCTCTGACACAGACTGGGCCTGCACACAGCAGTGGAGCTGGCCACGTGGCCACGTGGCTCCTCCCTCCTTGTGCCCCGCCTCAGCACCTGGCACAGGCTCACCCACTGGGGTGGGAGTAGGGACAAGAAGGACGCATCTTCCTTGTGCAGGGGACAGAGGCGAGGACACGGTAGGAGGACAGCCAGGCTCTGCCATGGTTAAGAAGAGCTCGCATTTAATAAGCACCTACTATGTGCCCGGCCTGGAACCTACCACAGACCTGGTCCCTATGACAGTATGGCCACAGGGGTGTCATTCATCCTATTCCCTAAATGAGAGAACTGAGGCTCAGGGAAGGGAAGGGCCTTGCCTCCCACCTAGTGGGGGGAAGGCCTACCTGGGTCCAGGTCAGTCTGGAAACAAGGTGGGCAGAGACTGGCCTGTGCCTGCCCAGTAGAGCACAGCTTGCTGCCCAGGGCACCCCTTCTCCAGGCCAAAAGGCTCCAAGAGTGGAGTTGAGGAGCCTTGGGGTCCTCTCCCAGGGATCCCAGAGACAGATTCCATGTGAGGAGCAGTTGAGTGGGGACCACACTGACCTCCTAGCTCTACTTGGGGCCTGTGACGTGTGCCCCCAGCCGAGCTCACTGGCCCTCAGACCCCCACTTCCTTCTGTCCTCCTACATTCCTCTCAGGCTGTTTCGTCATCTGCTTTCTCTGCCCCCCACCCCTGACCTGGATATCAGGATCCAGGGTGTGGGAGCTCTCGCCATCTGTCTACTCAGTGAGCTCTGCCCACTCCTCCTCATCACCCCAAAACTCAGCCTAGAAGAAGAGTGAGCTGCCCAGTGTGAGGACCCCTCCCTGGGCTTGCCTGACCAGGTGCCTCTCGATGCGCCCTCGGGTGCCCTCTCTGGCTGACTGGATGTTCCTCTCGCTGTCTGCTCCCAATGCCTCGAATGCCCTGCAAAGTCTGGGATTGCAATTGGCTGAGCTTCAAGGCCCTGGAGTCCCAGGCCCACCTGAGTCAGGGTCACCGCCTGAGTCAGGGCCACCGGGGAGGACATTACACAAAAGCCACAGTCACTGTGGACCCCACCTGGACTGTCCCAGCTGTGGCTGAGATGTGAGGCCTGGAGGAGACAGGAAGGAGTGGCTGGAACAAACCTGGATGGTGTAGGTACCCCCTTTGCTCTCCCTTCCCCTCAGCTTCCACCCCCTCTTTCCAGCCTTTCCCTCGTGCAGTGCCCATCGCCACCCCCAGCCTCTTCAAGGGCCTTCTCAGACCAGGCACCCTGGATCCTGGACATGCCCCAGGGAAGGTGTGTGTCTCCTGGCCCACACCTGCTCTTCGTCACCACCTGATCCCTCCCAGTCATAGTCTTACAGCTGCCTTCTCAAAGTGGTCAGGGGGGCTTGCCCAAACAGAAACCTTTTCCTCTTGGAAGTCAGGAATACAACAAGGAGATGTGTTCACAACACTGTTGTGTGCTGTTTGAGTTGAGGGCATGGCTCATCCTTCGTGTGGTGGATTTGAAAGGCGTGCCTTTGGGATTGCAGCGCAGTTTCTTACCACTAGGCCACTAGAGCTCCCTTTGACCTCAAAGAACTAGTTAGGGCAATAAGGCAAGGGAAAAAAATAAGAGGTATGCATATAATGAGAGAGGACAGATAAAACTCGCCTTCTGTGGATGGCAAGACGGTCTGCTTAGAAAATCTGAAGCTGACAAATGTTAGAGCTCCTGAGTTGAGTTTCGTATGCTGATTATAAGATGCAAATAAACTCAGTCCTTTTCTGGGATCTCAGCAAAGCCCATTAGAAAAAGGCATTTTAAAGGCTCACTTTCTCAATAGCAAAACAGCCCACCCTCTCAGGAAGAAGGGTTGCATAACACAGAGAATGCCATCAAGGACTGCAGTGTAGTTACACAAAAGGCTGACAACAACAAAATAGAATTCTAAAACAAACAAATACAATCTTTTAAAAATCTATCACCCTCCAAGCTGCTGACATCCTCAGCTCTGATTTCTAACCTTGACATTCAGGCCATTCCTTCTGGACCTTTGAAGTTTCATCTTCCACTCAGTCACTCCCCTCGACACCTGGGCACAGTGACCTGTGGTGACCTCACCCCACCCCCTCTAGCTGTCGCCACTTTTGAGGCTCAGCAGACGTGGCTCCTCCCTCTGGAAGCCTTCCCTGATTACCTGAGCTCCAGACCACACCTGAGAGTGTGAAGCAGGTCCAGGAGCCTCGTAGGGCAGTGTGAGTGTGAGTGTGTGTGGTGTGTGTCCACGCTGGGTTTGTGGTGTGTGCGACCATGCTGGCTGTAGTGTGTGTCCATGGTGTGTACCCACGCTGTGCTTGTTTGGTGTGTGTCCATGCTGTGTGTGTGGCGTGTGTGTCCACACTGTGTATGTGTCCATGCTGTGTTTGTGGTATGTGTGTCCATACTGTGTGTGTAATGTGTGTATCCTCGCTGTGTGTGTGTGATATATGTGTCCATGATGCGTGTGTCCACCCTGTGTGTGTGGTGTATACCCATGCTGTGTGGTGTGTGTCTACGCTGTGTGTGTGATATATGTGTCCATGATGCGTGTGTCCACCCTGTGTGTGTGGTGTATACCCATGCTGTGTGGTGTGTGTCTACGCTGTGTGTGTGATATATGTGTATGTGTGGTGTATGCCCATGCTATATGTGGTGTGTATTCACATTGTGTGTGTGTGGTGTATGTCCAAGTTGTGTGTGTGTGGTGTGTCCATGCTGTTTGTATTCACATTGTGTGTGTGGTGTGTGTGTGTCCATGCCATGTGTAGAGTGTGTCCCCACTGTTTGTGTGAGGTGTGTGTCCACACTGTGTGTGTGTGGTGTGTCCACTCTATGTATGTGGTGTGTGTGTCTATGCTGTGTGTGTGAGGTGTGTGTCCCCACTGTGTGTGTGTGGTGTGTCCACACTGTGCGTGTTGTGTGTCCATGCTGTGTGTATTCACACTGTGTGTGGTGTGTGTGTCTATGCTGTGTGTGGTGTGTTTCCCCACTGTTTGTGTGAGGTGTGTGTCCACACTGTATGTGTGTGGTGTGTGTCCACGCCAGGTGTGTTAGCTTTGATGCCTGCATGTGGGCACTGGCGCCTCTGTGTGCGCCTCTGAGGGCCCACGTGTGTCTTCCGCCATGAGCACCTGTGTGTCTGCACTTCTTTGTGTCCGTTTCCGGTCTTTCCACCTGTGTGTGCCCGTATGAGCAGCTTTGTATGTGACTCAAACTGGCCCTCTGCCTGGACTGTCAGGCTCCAAGCCCAGGCCCTTGGCCCAGAGCACCATTAACAGAACCAAATTGTCCTCAAGCCCCACCCTACGCCCGCAGCACCCTGTGGCCCTCTGGCCCCACCTGCTTGGAACATACCTGCTGACAGAGCGGACACTGGGTCCAGAATGAGGCCACCTGGAGAAGATGGCCGAGCAGAGTCCTCAGAGGCAGGCCAGGCCTGGGGCCGCTTGAGAAGCTGAGTGAGGGACCAACAGCTGGGACTTCCCAGTTGTGGTCAGTGGTCAGGACCGCCTTGGATCCACCAGCCCCACCCCTAGCTCCACCCACCACCCAGACCCCATACTTTCACTTTCAGCCATATTCCAGCCCTTGCACCCATATTCCCTCCCATTCAGAGGCCACGCTGCTGCTGCTGCTATTGTAACCTTTGATTCCTGGCTTGCCAGCCAAGGATAGGGCCAAGGGAGAGCGTCCAGGGCCCAACACACAGAGCAGAGGCAATGCTGGGCAGGCCAGAGGCCAGACGGGGCAGGCACAGGCCTAGGGACACCAGTCATGGACTGATCTCAGAAAGAAAGC